GTAGGGCTGAAGTGCTATATTGGTTTAGCGCTAGAGCACTCAACTGAAAATGTTAAAAAATGTGAGGAAGATTGTGCAGCAAAAAAGAGCGGGGGGGGGGGAGTGCAACTGTTTGAGATGGCCAGAGCGCTTCAGAGACAGCTCATGAACAGAAAGAAATCTGCTGTATGAAACTCCCGGCCCTGTATCACTTTATTCGCAATCAGACCAACAACAAATAACATCCGGTTTAGAAGGGTAATGTGAAAGGGGCTTGAGTCTTCCCACCATTTTGAAGTGAAGGACAGAGCACCACTGTTGGTGACCCAATAGTTCACTGCGTTGTCTCACAGACTAAGTCCCTCCTTCAGTGGTCATGTTAGAATAATGGTTTTCAGTCCTTCTAGACCCACAACCAACCATTAACCCCCACCCCCCCAGAGGCAGCACAGAACCCAATGAGCTACAAGTACATGACATCACAGTCACACGACAGGAAAAGACAGAACATGCAGTAAGAAGCTGCAGCTATACACGGGCTCAGGTGGGGCTCCTAGGGTTGCCAGCCCCAGGGGGAGGACGGGATCCCCAATTCTGCAGGCTTCTGCCTGCCACCTGGCCAGCGGAAGCCCCACCCCCAGCAGCCATGACCTAGCACCAGGTCCCCGATGTGATGACGACATGCAGAAGTGACATCATCACACTGGGGGCGTCGCACGGCAATGCTCTGATATTTTGGACAAAACTCTGTGGTAACTTCCACGTGATGTCATCATGTTGTGGATATTGTGAGGAACAATGTTATCCCACCCCCTCACTCCCAGAGAGCTCCCTCCCACCCCCCCACCAGCGAGGAGGTAAGGCCTGGCAACCCTAGGGGCTCCAAATACTACCTGAAGGTCCCATTCCACACGCTGAAGGTCACCAGTTTAGGGTACCGAAGGAAGCAGAGCCTTTCCCCACCAAAATGATCGTCACCAGAAAGAAAAGACAACTGCAACCCCCTTCCCCCACTAACAGTATTCTTTTTAGGAAATATTTATGGTTCTTTTTCTTCTCAAATGCTGCTGCTAAAAGAAGCTTCGGGGAACGTTCCTGGCAGTTAGGGTTGGCAACTCCAGGCTAGGAAATTCCTGGCTATTTGGCAAGTAGAGACTGAGGAGAAGAAGAGAAGAGATTGGATTTCTACCCCGCCCTTCACTACCCAAAGGAGTCTCAGAGCGGCTTACAAACTCCTTTCCCTTCCCCTCCCCACAACAGACACCCTGTGAGGTAGGTGGGCCTGAGGGAGCTCTTGAAAGAAACTGCTCTTTTTCAAGGACAGCTGTGCCAGAGCTTGCGACCGACCCAAGGTCACATCAGCAGGTGCAAGTGGAGGAGTGGAGAATCAAACCTGGTTCTATCAGATTAGAGTCCGCACACTTAACCACTACACCAAACTGGCTCTGGGGAGAGGAGGGACCGCAGCAGGGCATAATGCCACAGAGGCCATTCTCCAAAGCAGCCATTTTCTTCGGAGAAATGAACAATGTAGTCTGGAGATCAGTTGTAATTCCAGGAGATCTCCAGACCCCACCTGGAGGTTGACAACCACACTGGCGGTCGAGGACAGGCTGGGGCAAAGAAGCCATCATAAGGGGAGGGGGGATTAGACTCTGAGGATCTGTGCCACAAAGCATGTGTCCTTGGAGCCCAGTTCTCACTACACTTACCATCTTTTTGGTGGCAAAGAGGTAGCTTTGCCAATGAATGGAAGCTGGGCAGGGGGTTCCACCAATGCAAGTCATACACTATAGGACTCCACAGTTCAATTTATCCTCCTGTCACAGTGACTTTCCTGCCCTAGTAGGCAAAGGCCTCCACACTGCGCTCTGCATGAGGAAGGGCTGGAAACAGGTAGATATTTGCAGCCTCTCTTTCTGCTAAAGGTAAAGGTTTCCCTTGCTCAAAAGCCAGTCGAATCCGACTCTAGGGGGCGGTGCTCATCTCTGTTTCCAAGCCGAAGAGCCAGCGCTGTCCATAGACTTCTCCATGGTCATGTGGCCAGCATGACTAAACCCCGAGGCACAGGGAACGCTATTACCTAACACCTAATACGAAAATGGAACTCTGAGGTGATAAAATAGAGGAGGTGAGATGATGTAAGCAGCTTTGGGCTCCCACTGGGGAGAAATTGGAGAGAAAAAGAGTGTCTCTGTGTGTGAGTGTGTGTGTGTACCACACATGTCACATTAAACCTTTAGCTCGCCCTTCGGCTCGTGCCAGAGGCTCGTGCCTCTGGCAAGGAGCTTTCTTAAATACTGAGTACTCAGCTGAAAGCAAGTAAAAAACATTCACCCCTCTAGCAGCTCTACAGACTACAGACTCTACTCAACAACAGACAAAGATTTGGATCCATTCTGCTAGCAAAGGCACTTTCCTCTGGTGGCAAGAACCTTCCCCTGATGCAAGACCTGCAGGATCCAACCCATACTGAGGATCCCAAAGCAACTCTGCATCTGCCTTTCTGGCAGCAGCAACATGTTTTGCTCCTTCCTGTCATTCACTGTGTATGTGACAGGGTTGCCAACTCTGGGCGGGGAAATACTTGGAGATTTTAGGGCTGGAACCTGGGGATGGAAGGCTCCTCGGCAGGGTACAGTGCCATAGAATCCACCCTCCCAAAGAAGCCATTTCCTCTACGGGACTGATATATGTCAGCCAGAGATGAACTGTTACAGCAGGACCTGGAGGACCTCCAGGCCCCACCTGGAGGTTGGCAACCTTGGGATAAACATCTTGCCTCTTTGGATTATTCAAAAAACATGTGGAAAGGGATCCTAAAATATAATTTAGATAAAGAAACTCAGAAGGACAGATGGCATAAACACAAGCAAAAATGACCACACACACACACGCACACAGACTCACTTTGAAAATTACAGCCATTCATGTCGATATTTTACAGACACTGGACTGCAACTTCCCATTATAGTAATGTAGCTGCATGCTCCTATCCCATCCCAGATGCAGACTGTGAACAATGAGGAATGTTACTCACCCCAGATTTATGGGCTAAATATAGAGCACGGCTTACTGGGTTATAAAGAGATGCTCATCACCACTGGCAGTGAGATTACTTAGGGAATGATAATGAGCCATCTTTGGGACCAGCCGCTCATCTCAGAGACCAGGCAGCCCAGTTGGATGGTAGTTTCATGGCCTAACCGCATGCAGGAGCACAATTATTACATCGCCTCATAAAGCTGCGGCCATCTCTTCCCACTGGGGCCAGATGAGGCCATAACAAATTTGCTTGCGTAAAGAAATGCTTATGCTCATGTAGAGACAGGCACAATACATTAAGAAAGCATTGGGCGTCAGAAATCAGCCACGAGGATACAACACTAGGAAAATACTGTTAATATTTCTTGGCATTTTTCTAGGCACATTTTCATAAATTAAAAAAAAATGAAAATGGAAATAGAAACTAGATAGCTTTGGATATTACTTTTCTCTCTCCACATTTGCCATTAAAGACCCAAGATTCAGCATGCCTACAAACAATACATAGGTAAGAGCTCACAAATCTGAACAGATCCAAGTGCTAAAAAGTATGCTGCAAGCAACCGTTCAAGCAGTAAATGCAAAAAGAGAGAGCAAAATATAAGTTACAGAATAAATCCTTAGCCTGATAACACATCTCTGATTTGATTGTTGTAGAAACAGGTCTGCTTAGTTTCCAAAGCTAATAGGAAAAGGAAAGGTTTTGGGTTATATTAACAGAATCAAATTCCCGAGCATCTCTCAGATTGCGGCATGGAACAATTTGAGGGTGGGTCTCTCTCCAAAAGGGGCAGAACAAAGCAATGATGAGTCTGACATACTACATTCTGGTTATGGCCCATTCGTTTTAAGAGCCAAATCTGAAGTTCTTCTGCTCTTCTGACACACTGGCTGTCCTTCAAAAGAGATACATTTCTTAAACAAAAGCTTCAGATCCTCAACTGAGTATGTTAGCATAGCTAGGGTTACAAATTCTTAGGAGTGGGTATCAAATACTTGGTACCATCATCACTGCACAGAGAAAAATAGAAGCATCTGACCCCCTTCGTGAGAGATTTGGTGGCTCCTTATTTTATATCCTGAAGCCCACCAAAGTACCGCTTCTTATTTAAGAAGTCCCCATTCAGCAGCGAAGTCACCGGAATCTGGTGTGTCCAACCCCATGTCATGACGACACATGAGTCAATGACCACGATTAACACAATAAAATGGTTGTTGAAGCAGTCCTCTGTATATGAGCAAGGAAGCCTTCTAAACTAAGAAAGACACCAGTCATACTATGAGCAGAAGTAAAAATTCACTGTGCCATCATTCCATCTGAAAATTACTTTGGCAGCATCCGTGATCCTGCAGAAAGCTCATTTTTAAAAAATGACTACTTGTCACTATAGAACATTGAGATGCATAGCACTTAGGGTTTTTTCCCAACCTTAGGCATGTTTGATCAAGTTAATGCAACACTGAAGTCAATGGATCCACTTATATTATACGTATTAGGACAATTCATATGAGACTGCTCTTCATGCCTTAATATTGTTTTCTTTCACAACAACTGCAATTTAATCCATTAAAAACTGAAACTTAGTATCAGTGTATTCTACCTGAGAAACTGGCCAGAGGATGAAGAATTTAATCCTATTTCCAAAGAGCTGGATTGGCAGCCCAAGAATGAGATGCCTAAAGTGAAACTCCAAACACACTGAGATTCCTCCTTCTTACTGTATGGCCTGAGGAAAACGACAGTAACTGGTGGAGGAAAGAATTCAATTGAGAGAGTACAGAGATACCAGAGACATGAAACAGTGGGGTATACCAAAGCGTAGCCTAACATGACTTCATGTAAATCATATCACGTTAACAGCACACAAATTACAGGTTACAAGACATATGGAGAGTCAGCAAAGGGTAACACTCACTGATTCTCCATTATTAACAGGGGTTAGAACAACAACAAAAAGTCTGAATTGTTCACATACCTGATCAAACAGAGTTTTCCAGTGCTGAGAGGTAAAAGGCAATGCATAAAGGAAAGAAGAAGGAAAAGGAAAAATAAGTGTAAGAGCAAAGAAATGCAATGTTCTGAAAATATACTTTAAGGTGATCAACAATGAACACAGGACAGGGAAGACCTGCACTCTCACCCTGACACTGACATTTGGTTGCTCTGAGCTTAGTGGACAGGTCACAGGTGCAAAGCCTACAGGTGCATCTGTAGCAGTCAAATGGAAGCAACATTCTTGACTCTCTTCCCAACAGCTTCACACTTACATTCAAAGGGATTTTTTGGTTCATTTGGTTTGCACGATACTTTGTAGGGCGGGAGGAATTAGGGGGCAGGGACAGGCACGGCAGCATGAGATGTAAAATCTGGCTTCAAAAACTGATGCAATGTCATTATGTCAAGCAAAAATCAAACTGCTATGACTAGACCACAGAGTTTTGGGCAAATCCTAGAGCATCACCCCAATGCAATGATATCACCTCTGGGGGGTTTTTTTGCTGGAAGTGATGTTGTGTGGCAGTACCCCCAACATTTCCTATTTTCCTCCCACCAGCCTTGAAAGTACCACCAACAACATGTTAGGCGGCAAGAAACCTGTCCCCCAAATAGGGTGCGGTGGCAAATTGTAGGTAGCTCGATCAGGCAATCTTGCCTGATCAGAGTTCTTTGAGGACCCCTTTATGGCAGAGTTAACTAGGGTTGCCAAATCTGAGTTGGGAAATTCATGAAGATTGTGGAGGTGCAGTGAGCTCAGCAGGATATAATGCTATAGACTTCACCCTCTGGGGCTTCACCACGTGACCGCCCCGCCCCCTAGAGGTTCTCTTCCGGAGCTCCGTACCTGACAGCTCCCCCCCGACTAGAGCCCTGGACTTCACCCTCTAAAGCTTCCATTTTCTCCAGGGAAACTTACTTCTGTTGTTAGGAGATCAGTTATACTTTCGGATTTCCGGGATCCACCTGGACATTGGTAACCCTAGTGTTAACCAACCTTTTAGGCAAAGGTGCCATAAGTCAAATCGATATTATGAGAATCCTACTGAACTACACACCATATAACCTATGTAGCATGTACACCCCCGCATACCAAAATAAGCTTTGGTATGATCTGACTTTGGTCTACTGAGCTACGGAGCAGGCAGCAACACAGGCCTAACTCTAGACCACAGCTAGGCCCACAGGCCCTCCTATCCCTACCCATATACCCTGCTGCCCATGCCCATGCCAGTTGTGTTCCATGCTACTGGTTGTCCACTCATGCATTATGATGGGGTCCCCAACTATTTTGAGCCTGTAGGCACCTTTGAAATTCTGACACAGGTGGTAGGTGCAACTAGGGTTGCCAAGTGTATCTTCGCCGGGAGCGGGGGGCTTCTGGCCGGCGTCTTGTGTGTGTGCGCACGCGCAAAGCGTGCGCGCACCGCATGCACGTCACCCAGAAGTGACG